AATTTACGATCGCCGGAGTCTGGACATACGAGGCAACGGCAGGGAAGACCTTGACTTTTCTTTTATAGCCGTTTAATTTATAGACCATTTCAAATGTCATGAGGTGCAGGTCGTCGCTACAACTCTGCAGGAAAGGGCCTGGCAGAGGCACATTGGCTCTCCCATTGTGAACAATCATTACATAATCGGACTGATCTGATCTACTGTACTGTGCGAGGAACTCTTGGCCACAGTGGCGGTGAACACTGAACTGTGGCCTGAGATGCCATTAAAATGCAACGCATGGCCGGACCACCAACACCCGACTCCCCAAGTGTCGTACGCTTCCAACAAACAGCAAACAACAGCATTGTTATCTCACCACCAGCACCACCACTAACCCCACCTGCTGAGACGTAATTCACAAGGCCTCAAGCCACACTCGCTATTAGCCCGCTTACAGCACACTGACAGGATTAGTGCAGAAACCTAGAGCCTGTTGACCCTCACCCTTAAGGTTTCTGCAACTTCTATTATGGTCTGACCATCTGCCAAAGAGCACTGAGACAGAGAAAAAGAGTCTCAATGCTTCACCCGGCCTCGGCTTTGAAAGTAGCCACGGAAGCCTTGTTCTGCTGTGCTGCACGAAATGGGTTATGACAATAACAATTTATCAATCCACTTGGAGTTCAATCAAGACATGGAGTGGAGTGGAGGTCATGCTTCAGAGGTCTAGAGCCGTTTGAAAAGTCAGGAGACGGAGCCTCATGCTGTTGCCTGAGATTGATCTTCCAAGCAAAATGAGAAAGAAAAGGGGAATCCATTGCAAAATGTTTGACTTCACTGCACAGAGCAGACTTTTTCATACATCATCAAAGAAAGTTAAGCACATACCGATAATCTAAATGATATTGTTATGCGTTCTCATCTGTAACTGCTACATGTGATTAAACGACGTTTTCTGTTTCTTTGTTTGCATGCTTTCAGCAACGGTTGACTCGCACATAGAAAATAAATAGAAAAATGAAGTAAAAAAAGGTTTTGACTTCATTAAACGGACCCCCTGCTTACCAGGAGACACAAGAGTGTCAGGAGGTAGTGTCTCCTGAACATGGCAGCAAGGTAAGATGGCTCAATGTGTGTGGGCCCACTGCACAATAAAGACTCCACATATCGGAGAGGGGAACAACAAAGACAGACACAGAGACGCAGATGGGAGTTGGCGGCGGTTGCAGCTTAGCTCTGAGTGGGAAGAGGGGAGAGCAATGTTAGCAGTGTTATTGTTGAGGTGGGTTAGGTTTTTGAGCTTCTGAGAGATGAAACTTGTTTACTGTTGTTGTATCTAAACCTATTTTGAACACATTTGAAATTTTGATTTCCATAGCAAGCACAAGTGTTAAATATGTTTTTGTTTGGGTTGTTTATATGTGTGACCTTGTGAAATGTGACTTTTGAATTGTAAAATTGAAAGCCTGATGGTTACAGAAAGGAAAAAGTCATTATCCACAAAAATCACTGATGACACATTTAAAAAGTTGTGAAGGTGAAACCAGTATGTTTAGAAAATCTACTCATCTACAATCTACTCAAGTGAGTTCTTTCAACAAAGACAGAATTCAAACTATGGATCCTTTTGAAGTATTAAAAGGAATAATTTGATATTTTGGTACATACGCTTATTCTTTTCCCTCCTGAGAGTCAGATTAAAGGATCGATACCACTCCGTTTCCATACTGTACTGCATGTAAAATGTTTTTCTTATTTTTTGTCTTAGTTCTGTAACAGTCTTTTGCCGAACGGCTGTGTGCACTTCACAGAGTCCTGTCATCTCCTCGAGGTTGCCAGACGAATAGTGGAGACACAGAAGTGCTGCGTGGACGGACAAGGTGTTGCTTGTTACATTTCATAGCTTCCTCTAAAAGCACTAAGTCTCATTCTGTCTGTGTATGGATAAGCTGGTAGACGTATTTTTGGAATTTGGATTGAGCCAGATTATCTGTTTTAAACTAGGCTAATCGCCGTCCAGCTCTGGGCACAAACATGAGAGTAGTATTGATCTTCTCATCTGACTCTCACAAAAACAATAAGTGTATTTTCCAAAAGGAAAATATTTTCTGACTCATCTCCAGTGATATACATCCATGCAGATAGCATTTGGTTTTATTTGGCCAAGTTTTGAGATCTCAATCTCCAGTTATATTTTGGGCATTTCTTCTTTGTTTGATAGAGAGTGAGAGACAGATAGGAAAGGCAGGGGGAGAGAGGGAATGATATGATAGGATATGCAGACTTGAACACGGGCCGCTGGGGTAAGAACTCAGCCCTTATGGCACCCCCTCTACCCAATGAGGTTAGAGGGGGTAGTGGAGATTAATTCAATCTAATTTGTGATGCTGAAAACATTCAAAAGTTACCAAAAAAGTAATCAGAAACGTCTCTTTTTTCAGGAACAACATCCCCATTACTGTGGATAAATTAAAAAAACTCGACAAGACAACTGTTTTTTTTGTAACTACTTTCTACAGAAGAAATAGTTCCTATAAAAAAACTGCTGACAGTATATTTACTTCAATCGTATTGGAGTGGACGCAGACTTTTTAAAAACATATCTTAAAATATGCAAATAAAACCCAAAACATTTGCATGATACCAAGCTTGACTCTTTAAATATCAAAGTTTTCTGAAGTGAAAAGTGTCTAAATCTCAATCTGCAAGGGCCTCTGGTACCTTTCACTGACTAAATGCAATGATACTGCCAAATAAAACTGGCTCTATCCTGCACAGTATGGCACCTGATTCCATTATGCTTTCTTCACATTTTACTTCAGTAGCGGTATGATGGTTCTTTACATGTTGACACAATGGATTTCATAGATCCCAAAGAAGCCCAGAGGAAGCTGCTAGAGCTGCAGTATAGTTGTTTCATCTCCCGTGTTTGTTCAGCGACCCAGTAGAAACCGCTGGTAGCTTAAAATAGACAGTACAGTAGCCATAAAAGGACTAGTGCATGATCATAGGGGTGTGGAACGGAAAAACCTTTGGGACCTGCCTTGGCATTGAAAAGTGAGCTGCTGAATTTGCGGATGTACCTAGCAGCTATGTAGACAGCCATAAGAGTAACATCGGGAAAAATATGCTTCTTAAAACCAGTTTGCTCTCTAAAACAGCCCCGTAAAAACGTCTCAGAGTGTTATTGGTAAAGATTTTTGAATCTGCCAGGACATCTGAGATTATCATGAAGATCGTAAAACAGTGCCATTTTCAGCAATCGTCCTCCTCAACTTACAGCTTCATTGTCATATCACCCCCCCCCCCCCCCTAAATAATACCAGCTGCCATTACCTTCACACGCAGTGCTTTTCCTCTCAAATCTGAAATGCTTTGATCAGTTTCCGAGCATTATTTTTCTTCTTTCCAGTGAAAAGAAATATCGACTCAAAAGCCTTTGCCTCCCCGCAGTGCTCGAAGAAAGTCATTGTAATGAAATGAAAAAGCAGAGCAGCTCCATTAACACCACTACCTGCTCAGCTGGCACCATCTCCTACCTGTTGTTAAATGGTCTAATTGGATCTGAGCTAAGGGGGGGGGGGGGGGAAAGCGTAACGCTGGTTCGTATTCGAATGGAGATTCAATTAATGAGTGCAGCCTTGAAGAATAGACCCGCTCATTCATCCAATGTGCCAGTGGAAATAGATTTTATCGTGTGGTTTCAAAGTGCTTTCACAGATAAAGTGAATGTATTGTGGGAATAAAAGGATTGAAGTTGGATTGTTAAGGCTCACAGTTGGCTGAACGTTCAATGTGCATGGTTTATGTAGCATTCAAACTTCCTCTGCGGGAATTTCAATTACTGTTGCAATTAGTAGAGAGACGTGCTGGCATCATTAGTGTCTGTGCCCGGTAAATCACGCAGAACGTCAAAATGATGGAGGAAATACAACATGCTGACTGCTCGGAATTTGTCTTGTCCCTTTTACAGATTCCTGTAAATCGATAACATTGTCACCACACTAATCAGGAGTCTAACACCTAAATAGCAAGCCCTAAATAAGCATGGCAAAAAGCACCCGTATTGAAAATATTACTCAAGTAAAATAACTTAAATAATACAGAATAATGAACCCTGTGAGTTTCACACTATCATGTAAATTATTTAGTTACATTATACCATCTTTTACAAATAGATATATTTGGCAATCATTCAAGTTTATTTTTTTTTATCTTTATAGTATTTGTTGTATCTTTTGTCCTGAGGCTCCACCAGAGACCTCTTCAAAGGATTTCAGCCTGTAAATCGGAGTCGTATCGATGGCAGAACTTAATCTGGCTTTAGGTTAGCTCTTACTCCATCTGCTGCACCATCGCAGCGATAAAACCACAAAACAACACCCCAGATTTCATTCGCAAACCATCAATAAACACAATTAATGGACCATCCCTGGCGCGCGCAGGAACCTGTAATACACTGCCAAATGAGTCAGGCGCAAAACTGAGGATGAAAAACAAAAGTATAATCCCTCTGCTGCTAACGGTGTCACTCAAGGATTAGCGTGCCAAGGGAAAAAAAAAAATATCGCACTAAGTAGTGCGCGGATAAATTAAATGCTCTGGGCATTGTGGCGTGTCTCCAGCCGTTTCAAAAAAAACATTGATTGTGTTACAGGACGTGTTTGTGCTTCGGCGCTCCTGACAGAATAACAGTAACTGTAATCTCAACTTCAGATATCCTGATATCACTTGATTTGAGCCTCCAGGTCCTGGCGACAAGTCAATTGAAACAGTAAACGCTAAACGCTTGAGGCGACAGATCGGGAGATTTTTTTTTTCTCTCTGAGTCGAGGAGAGAGTGACCTGGTGGATTATTAGACAAGAGTTGTGGCGCCTCACCGATGATGAGGGTTAAGCTTGCATCCTGTTAGCGCGTCAGACAGAGAGAGAGGGACTTTTCGGGGATGGAGCGGTGGTCGGATAGGTTTTAACAAATTGATTCCACAACAAACAAAACACATTTTTCTTTTTACCTGTGCGTCCAGACGTACACCATCCAGAAAGATAATCCAAGCGAGATTAGTGGCAAACGGAAGGAAGCAACACTTCTCAACAAACTATTATTAGTGATAATCTCGAGCTGCGGTCAAATTCACGATTAGTGTAATTCCCGATGTGTGTGTGTGTGTGTGTAGAGAGAGCGAGAGCGAAAGAGAGTGAGATGCCCTCGGGAGAAGTTTGCACCTATAAACTGCCAAAGGGGAGGTTGTTAATCCTTTCCCGAAATATCTCCAATGTGCAGCAGAGCCGACAGAGCAGGACGGAGGAAGAAGAGCAGAGGGACTGTGGAGTTCAGCACTACGGCGCAGTGGACAGCTCCGACAGTGCAGCGATCTCACCTCGGCCGCTCTCGGGTCTCGTGTGCGCCACCGAGGCAGGAGCCGCCAGCCCCAACCTCACCTACTGGCTGAGTCCCGACCGGATTTACATACAGTCACGCGGGAGGGAGGGAGGAGAGGGACGGGATGAACCAATCACGAGTATCCCGTAGTAGGCAGTATAAGCAACAACACGAGGGCAGACTGACAGGCGGAATGCGAAGCGAAACTGTCCTTGACTAAGAGGGGTGGAAAAGGGAAAGAGAGAGGGGGAGAGAGGGAGAGAGTTGGGTTTCTTTAGGGCTGCCCCGCACACTCACTGGGCACTTGCACACGCATGCATTATGCGCGTGCTCCAGTGACGGAGTGGTGAATAAAAATGTGCTTTTTATTCACTATGCTGTATGACCTCCAGGTGATCATCACGAGGGGAAGATGACCGCTAAAAATCAACAACATTCTCTTACATATTTATTTCATTCAAAGATCTTTGTGGTGACCATGTAAAGGAACATCAACCTCTAATAAGAATATATATTTTTTCATATTATGTAGAAGTAGGAGTCAGTGAAAGTAACCAAGTTAATTTACTCGAGTTGTTGAGTTAGTTCATTTCTTCAACTCCACAACATTTCATTAGGAAATGTTGTACTTTGTACTATTTATATGACATTTAGTAATACTATTGACAGTTTCAGATGTTCCACACAAAAATATCATCAAATAAAATATGTGTTGTTATAGATTAAGTAAAAATTAGCTCCACCTCTACCAGCTACAACATTAAAATGCTGCTTATTTTTATTGCGTCAATAATGATAATGAACACTCGTATCATATATCGCTATCTCACAATCTCCTTCTGGAATGTAGTACTTCAAAATAATACTTAAGTATGCCACACTTAATGCACGAAAATTACTTTTCTGTGCATCCCATCACTGACTAAATTAACTTTTTGTAAGAAAAGAGCAACACTCTACATATGACATAACATTGCAAACAAAGACAACTTCCTCCTCTCCCAAAGCCAAATTATAGACATCCAATTCATCCAGGAGTAGAGATGAAGGACATTTCACCTGAATCCTATGAAGAGCAATAAAGATGTACTTTAGTCTAACCTGAATAAAATACTGGTCTTTACCTAACAGGGAGACCATTTCTAAAGGTGCAGCGTACTTAGACATACAGTCATTGTGCACACAGAGATCTTTCATTTTGACAAGTACTTGTAGCCTGCTACAAAAGACTGCTTTTAAAATAACTTGCATCAGGTCGATACTATTTATGATGCATGAATGTGTGCTACATCTACAGCGCATCAAAAGTTGTGTTTGTCTCATTTGCAAATGCAGCTATTTATGCATTTTATCATTATTTATTCATGTTTTATTTCTGTTTAGCCTTTTGTTTTGCCTAGTTTCTATTCACATCAATTTGCCTGTCTCCAATTAAAACTTCAAGATTCTTAATTTATGCGCTGCACTGCAGGCTGCCCTTGGTGTATTGTAATTCTGTTACGAATGTGTGCCACGACACTATTAAACAACTATTTTTTATAATGGTACGCAGCACAGCTGAATGAAATTCCACCCCTGAATTTGACCCATCCTGATCTTAAGGAGAGGTGTGCTGCTCTAAAGCACCCGGGGAGCAACTTGGGGTTCAGAGTCCCGCTCACCTCAACATGCGGACAGGAGGAGCCGGGGATCGCACCACCAAACATGTTTTCAGACAAGCAACCATGTCTGATATATTCATGTCATTATGAGTTATGAGTTATTGACTCATCAGTGTTTCAGTCTAATCCGTAACCTGATAATTGTGACTCCATACTAGAATAAACAGGCTTTGAAACAATGGATGTATTAGTGTAAAAGAGGTGTCCAGCCTTTGTCGTACATTCGTTCTAATGACAACATAATGCCCGCATACACAAAATGGTTTCTGGCGTTATGACTTGGATGAAAACTGACTCTATCAAGAGACAAGAATGTCAATATTGGATGAGTCCGCAAAACCCCAAATTACTCTCGCATTCATATGATGCCTCTATAGAACCTTCTTAATGCTCGTCATCGGTGCCACTGGCTCGGATTCTATGCAAAATCAGATGAAACCATACAGAACCAGGACTGAGTGTCGGACCCTTCTGCAGTAAAGTGAGAGGTTTTCTAAAGCAACTCTGGTGCTCAGAAATGACACCACTTCCATCCACATGGGCCGCTAAAATCAAAACAAAATGAAAGTTCCTTGTAGTAGCGTTCAATTAGACTAAATTATAAATTGAATTGAATTGAATTGACTCTTTTTGTCACCGTTCTACAGTAGGTCACTCACATGAGCATCTTCTGATCTTGCACCTCATAAGGTCAAGTTTTGGCAACTAAAACTTGGTTCAGGTTATAAAAAGGTGTTTATGGTCAATAAAAATAACATTTAGTTGTTTCCACTGCAATAACTTCACCAAGGGACCAAAAACCTTTGAGGAATTTAACCTGCATTTTGACAGAAGGAGCAGAGGACTAAATTCAGTTGCAGTAGGATACTTTCAGCTGGTAAAAAAGTCCTTAGTCACATGTAGTATTAAGGAGACAATATGCAAACCATGTTCTGCATTGATAGTCAGCCACTTCGTATGCCCAATAACCTCCGTCCTCTTTTGCTTGTGGAAGAGGACAGACACTATTTACCATAAGGGGTCACTTGTCAGGAAGACCAAGGTTATTTTAAGCATTTGAACAAAAAACAACAGTTGTTTTCTGGTGAGGACAGTCTTCTTGGGTGATACAACCACAGCCTGAAATGACCTGAAGCAAGATAGAAAGCCGTCACGTCATTATTTAATTGAAGGAAATTTAATTGCATCCGGCTATTGACTTGATCTAAGCTCCTTCACCAAGGGACCATAGTCACTTGGTGAAAGAGCTAAGTCAATCTGAACGTCGTCTGTGTAGCTGTGATAAGCAACGTTATTGTCATCTATGATTTCACCTGGAGACAAAACCCTTTCATCCTGGCATCTTCTGTCCCCGACCCGTTCAAACCGATGACTTCCTCTTCCTACATCCACCTTCATATCATTACTGTCTAAATGCTCTCGTATAGGTTCTATATTTTATTCTATTGTTATTTTAAATGTATATACCTCTTACTTTACTTTCATTATTTATCTGTTCCTATCTCTGTCCAACAACATAATTTCATGCTGGGAATCAATAAAGGTTTATCTCATCTCACAGTAAGCATTTCAACTACATATTGTTGTGTTCCTGAACCCTTTCCAACACACAAAAGATGCCAAAGACACACCAGCCTTCTTTTTACATGCTCAGAGCAACTGACCTAGTATAAAGTGCGAGATAGTTCACATAAGCAAACACAGGCCTATAGTCCAGGAGACTACTGTTCATGTCCCGAGCAAAACTGGAAGTAAATCTTGACATTTGGTGACGTGAGTCGTTAGTGTCCTTAGCCACTTGACTCACATCAGTCGCTAATCACGTGACTCGTTTGTCACTCTGTGGTCACGTGACTCGTCATCCCAGTCGAGTTAAGCAACGCATCCTCACACAACGGTTCGTATGAAATCCAGCAGCACATGACAGTTCTGCTCGTTACGTGCACAGGGTATTTTCAAAATAAACTTCTGTCTTCACAGGAAACAACAATTAGGTTTGGGCAACAAAATTGCTTGGTTACGTTTAGAAATAGATTGTCGTTTGGGTTAAAATAACTATGGAAGTGTGATTACTGAAGTACGCATGTTACATGATGAAAGCATCAATCTGACTACTCGTTTCACATGAATGAACGACGAATGAACTGCGGTCTCCAGGCTGAAAGATCACCGTTTCTTGGACCCATCCACCTTCCATCCAACCCCCCCGGTGTGTGCTTTTGTGGTCTTTATATGTAAAAAAAGTCGTTGCTTTTGCTACAAATGCCCGATTAGGCCATCCTGAACTAAAATGTTTGGTTGCCTAAACGAAACTTCCTGTGAAGACAAAAAGTTCATTTTAAAAAAACACGACGCATGTAAGGAGCGTACTGACACCGTCCCCGACACTTCCATAAGGGACGTAAGAGGGGGACCTAGAGTGTCATAGTTAGGAGCACTGACCAAGTTGAGGTATTTGACGCATTGGGGTGACAATGTGTTGGTCAAAGAATACCAAGTATTTAATAGCTGTAATGTGTAGTGCAGAGTCAATAATGACAACGTAGCACAAGAGATGTTGCTCATAGAAACCCCACAGAAACATGTTTTCATGTAAATCCTGATAAAGCATGTCATGAGCGTCATGCCTCATAAGTAACTACACAGCCAGTGCCACATCAATGCATATAATTAAACATGATGCACGTGCTCACGCTTAGTCAGCACATATGCCCAATGTGTTTTTGCTCCTTCAAAATTAAGTTATAGCATGATTCATTAAGGCGAGTAAGAGGGGGCTCTCCCTTGACATTCTCCCGGCAAATCCAAAGATTACATTGCCACATCTGTGCTTATAAACAACCCGAGTGTATATGTCACATGGGGGCTGCTGAGATGGCTGTAATTTATCAGGCGAACAATTAATGGGCTGCATGTTGAATAAAGAAGAGGGGGAAGGAATTTGTCTCTGCAGCTTGTTGTAGCATCTTGTTTTTCAAGCTGGGAGTTCATTTTGTCTGTGTGTGGGTTTCTGTGTAATGTGTGCTGGCGGTCGTGTTTGAGAGTACAATAGGTTGGGGGGGGTGTTGGTTTTGAAAGTTTGCACACAATGGAGTGGTAGAAAGTCCACTTCTGTGTGTGTGTGTGTGTGTGTGTGTGTGTGTGTGTGTGTGTGTGTGTTCAAATTTGGTTATTTGCATGAATTGGTGCGTGTGAGCTGGCATTTTTTTCATGTGTTTTTGTGCCTTTACAGAAAAGATTGGCAGTGAGAATATTCAGCGCGTGTGTGTGTCGGTGTGCGGTGAAGACTGTAATAGATTGCGACAAATTGTACGGGGAGCGTCAGCAGGAGCCTGCTCACACAGATGTGATATGTGACCAGTTTCACATCCCATTATCGGTTAAACTTTGGTGGCGGCGTGCACAGCTCCAGATTGCGATGTCAACTCGGTGCACATTCGCTGTGACTGCTGCATTAGGACCAAGCATATGGCTCCCACTCTCCGCTCTGCGGGCCTCTACTCGAACAGAGTGACATTCGTTT